TGGGAGCCTCTAGCCGTTCCTCGATGTCCCCCGCACCTCCAAACGTTGAGGGGTCCAGCAGCCTCTCCCACGCATTCGTACATGTGATGAAGCGCCGGAAACATCGGTGGTCAGAGCGCAAGACGACGAGGGTGATGGCCTCGTCACTCAACGGGCCACGTAGAGAGCACAAGCATTGCGGAGACTCCAGACACAGCTTACCGTGCAGAGACGCAGCGACACAACACGCGGTATTGATCTCAGGGGCGGGGCCGAGGGCGCATCGCGACCGCTCGCGACAGCTGATCCGTGGGAATTTCGCGTATTTTTGTTGTTTTCCGTTGGTTCTGAGTGCCAGTTTCACATTCAGCAGCTTGTCGAGGTGATCATTACTTCATCCTCAAGCATTCCTTCTCATATTCATCCGTTCATCGCCGACATTCATTGTTTTTACGAGGCACTCGTCAGCTATCCTTACGCGGCTTGTTTCTATTCGTCGGCGCAGCCGCGCGTGATCATTTCGTTGTTTTTCCAAGACTATGCGAGAGTAATCGCATACATTTGCGCCATATTCCATCGCTAGTAATGGTTTTGAACTGACTAAGACCTTTCTGAAGTGTTCGCACTTTCACGCGGTTGACATGAACTGCAGTAAAGTTCAAGGCTCTGACGGTTCATTTCTTGTGTGATAGTTTTTGTGTTTTAGTGTTTTAGTTCTTTAAGCGATAGCTTTTTCTATTAGATTCCATTTTGGACTTCTTTTCTTCGAGCTCTTTGCTCAGTGCTCTGAAAACCTCGCAGGGACTGTAGGTATAGGTTTTTCTCACCCCCGTTGCTTCATTTCTATTCTCAGCTCATGTTGAGATGGGCCAGCGGTACACGTCTTTTAACCTTTTGCTGAACGCTTTTTATAAGAGGAGCTCGCAATTACTGAATCGTTCTAAGCCTTTAGTGCGAGCAATGTTTACACTTTGCTGTTTAACATATCATTTCGTCTCCCTTGGATGTACCGCCTGATAACTGATAGTTTGGTGTCCTATCAGGAACGGGGGATGTGGTAGAGCGGTAGTTCATTAATTGCATAAGGAATCCACGTTTTTCAATGAAGTAGAAGCTCCGGGAGGGACGTGGGGTGTCTGTACCTTAAGCGGGGTGGTCAGCGCACCCCTGGGGGGGGGGAAGAGCGGTGGCGTTTCTCAATTTCTGTGGTCAGGTCACCTAAAAAGGGTAGACGCCTCTCATTCGCTCGCGAGCTGCTTAGGAGACTAAGCCTTTGGGCGCAAATATAGTTCAGTCTGGAGGAAGAGATCGAAACGGAATCGTATCAATTATTTTGTTTATAATGGTTTTTCTTTCTTATGTTCGCTGTCATAAAGCGCAGCAATGTCTATTGTGTAGCGGCATAGGCCTTTGAGCCTAGTGTACGTAGAACACCGCTAATACTTAACCCTACGTTGATCAATGATCGCGCACCTGTGGTGAACTGACCCCAGGAGGAGAAACTCTACGCACTGCCTCGGGGTTCCCTCCACTTGCAAATTGGAATTTCTGTAGCCGACAAGAACTGTCACATCACATGCTCCCCTTACTGGATGAGACCCCTTGCATTGTTGTGCGAGAAGTACGAGTAAAGGATTATGCGAAGCTTATTTTGGTGCCATTCATACTCTGAGAGTTGTGTTAATAAGTCTCTGCTATCTGTCATTTTAGGAGGTGGTATTCGAGTGTTTAAATATTCTTATGGAATTACACTGTTTCTCATCTCTGATCCATACAAATTCGTGAAATTGTTCTGTAACTCGAATGCGGAAATTTGGAGTTCTACTATTGAACCTTCTCTCTTTATTTCTGATGGCATTGCAAGTGAGTGTAGTGTTCTCTCGTTGATCGCCGCTACGATTTTCGTTCTGAAGCTTTCTCTTGCTCTAATGGCGGAACCGCTGGGATTCAACAGTCATTTGCACCACCTGACAGCGGGTGAATCTGACAGTCAAGTTGCGATTCCGAGAAGGAATTTCTGTAAGAAACAAGGCTAGAGGGATCGTTGAATGGTGCCCTTGAATAGAAAGGGGTTCAGTAGGGGGTGTTGAAAAGACTTGTTGGAATGCTCGCCAGCCGCAGGTAGGGAGGGGGGTTTGTATTTTGGGGGCGTAAAAGTGTGCTTGAAGAAGGTACATAGATCTGTCAATACGGTTTGAAGGTTCTTGCAGGGGGGACAGCGGTGACTTTTTCAAAAAGTTCTCCAAACAGCGAGAGATGCACAATGGGCACAGAATATCTTTGAGAAATTTTTTTTAATTTTCCCTGTTCTCTTATTCCGTCGTATCTAAGTTATTTGGGAATCTAGGATTGATTGTGATGTGCTTTTTATTGCTACTCTCGAGTGGCCTGGTGCGAGTTGAGCGTCTGCTCTTGTTGTCGGTAACTCTAGCCGCGAGTAGTCAGGGACTTTGTGTGGTTCACTAGGACAGAAAAGCGACTTTTTCGCGTTTCGCAGCGCGAAACATTTTTCGCTGCGGGAACCTCAGGTCCACTGATGATCAGCGGTGGACCTGAGGTTCCCGCAGCGAAAAATGTTTCGCGCTGCGAAACGCGAAAAAGTCGCTTTCTGTCCTAGTGAACCACACCCTTTACTCAAGGTGAAATAAGTAGGTCTTTTTAGGAGGACTCATATTGACTACCAAGTACTCTCAGATGGCTCATTTTGGTGTGAGAGTAACCTTCCATAATTTTTTCTTTGGATTAACGAATTGGGGCTATGTGAGTCAAATTTGTCATATCACTTGCTCAAAATGATATGCTCACCCGCCTAGGAGGTCCTCCAATTCCTAAAGTGAGGCTCAGGGAACGCCGAGCTGGGCAAGCATATTATTTGGGGTAAGTAATCAAAAATCGGCGCACCCACCCGACACACATAGCACCTGGAAATTTCTGTCGTGCGGAAAATCTATTCCCCAACTTTTTGTGTAACGTAATGATTAGAGGAAATTTCTCATTTATTTGCGTTGTTCTCATACCAGCAATGATTTTGTGTATGCATCCAAAATCATGTGGCTCTCAACGTTCGTTATGTGCTTGATTCAATATTGTGTGTTCGCCTAGCATTTTCCGGTTGATATCACCTGTATTATTTGCGCACGTGTGCGTGTGCGGGTTTGTGATAGCTGATCGATTTTTTTTTGTTAAGCGAATCACATCGAATAAGTGAAGAAGTGCTGAAAGACAGCGGTCATCTGCCGCACTTCACAAACCGGACTGTGCGTGTGTGTTCGTTTGAACTGTAGTGGTGTACTCGTTGGTAATCAACACATTCGATCCCTTCGAAGGAGAAAACAAAGTGTAAAGGTTGCGCACGTGTCGGCACATCCGAAGTGTCTCCAACAAATCAGCGACGGGAATTTGAAAGGTAATTTGATTTTTGATGCCTTTCTGTCACATATTTCTTGCCCAGTTTACGTTTAAAAGACGAAATCAGAAAAAGAATGGGTGGGGCTGAAAAGACAGGTTCTTTCTCGGGCTTTTCTGGCTCCTTTCATAACTTAGCGTAGATCATCCGAACATGTTTTTTAATATTGAATTTCCTTTTTCAACTAATGTTGATCCCTTCTCGCTGTAAGGCTCTCATATCCCGATCAATTCATCACATATCCGTCGCATCCATTCCGTTCGTCAAACAGTGCGCATGAGACATTCCTTGGGCATGGCTCCAGTGCGTTCATAATCACTTCAAGAGTCATTCCCAGCCTTGTTTTTTTTGTTTTGAATTAATTCCCTTCTATTCGGCAAGTTCTTAATCACCAGTCTCAATTGCTGAATTCGTCTTTGTTGATCACTGGATCCCAAAAAGGGTCAGTGCTGTGAATTTGTCTAGTTTTCATTGCTCAGGTCTAGTAATCGACACTTCGGTTTTGGCTGCATGGAGTGCAAAGTTGTGATTGTTTCGGGATTAATCTGCACGGATCGATCTTCCGAGCTTGGCTTCTTCTGACTAGGAATCTGCAGGCTTCATAATTTTGCACTGCTGGAGTTTGCTTTAGAATGTCGGGCTTTAGACTGTGATTTTCTTCAGGCCTGCTGGTAATGTGCTGTTTCTGGCCTATTAAATTTACCATAATTTTTGGCTTTCCCTTGCCAATATCAGGAGACGACATTATTAACCGCATTGAGGAATTCTTCGGCTGGACATGCCTCCCATATTCCCTTCACCGCTCGCTCTTCTGGTTTTCCCCTGCGCTTCGTATTGAGCTTGGCCTTGGTAGCCGAGGACCCGTTGCAGGGTTATAAGGATAAGGTACATGGTAAAGCATCAGCGGAGTGTGGCGGAATCTCCGCCCTCCGGTTTGAGAATTTGATGTCATTTAGATGAGAGTAGTAAATCTCGCATGAGTAGGGGTTATAAGGGTGAGTGCTATGAACGTGAACGTGATTTCGGGGCTTACCGGCTTCAAAGGGTTCCCCTTCACACCTTGGGCATTTTGAGCTCTTCTTTTCAAGGGTGGTCGCTCATTATTTGTGGCACATATTTATACCAAGGACCACGATTCATTGCAAACTAGTGCTATCGCTGACCTAGTAACTCCATTATCGCTTCACTTGGTGGGGAAGCTTCTTTAACAGCCTGTTGATATGTGAATTTGGTTATCTAAACCTCACCCACGCCTGACTTTGATTGAAGATATTCTACAGTGTTGACATTATAAACGGAACAACTCGAAATCCCATGGTAATTCAAGTAGGAGGATTATACTGACAAATTCGTATTCTCTGCAAGGCTATCTTATTTCAAAATGTTACCTGAAGAAGTGAGCATGTGATATTTTGTGTTGTATGTGCCCAGTTGTTAAGTTCATCATCTGAACTTTGATGTCCTCTAATCCTCCTTGTAGTTTGTCAAATCTCCGGAAATCTTCCGCAGATTGAAATCTGGTGCATTAGGGATTAGTAGCAGCAGCAGTGGCAGCGCCGGTGGAGAACCAATCCATTATTAGGTTTTTATACTGTCGATTATTGCTCTTTGCAGGATGGTACGCGGGGGTACGAGTGCGATAGACATTCCATGTCAAGACACAGGAGATCTTGATGGTTCTTTTATTGGATCTCCGACATCATACGTGAACATACCACACGTTCCACAAGCTGAAGACATTCGTACTATAATGCGTAGGGATTCAGAGGTGGGTAATTACAATTTTTTTCGTAATATTTTTGGCTTTTTCTCAAACTATCTCGCCCCGCGTAACCAGTGGTTGCATGTTCTGACTTTTTTCAGTTAAGTATTGAATAAGATTAATCTTGGTGCAGTTTATATGGCCAGTTTTGTGGGCAGCTCCACGAAGGGTTGTCAGGTGGCTTTTTATCAGGAGGCAACTAATTTTGTTGGTGGAGGATCCTGAAACGTCTGGACCTTTAAAGAGACGTCCAGCCACTGCAGAGCGTTTTTATAGTGGCGGTCATGTTTTACTTACATTTTGGTTTTTTTTTATTCGCAGTTGTGTTCCATGTGTGATTCCGTTATCTCTGAATGTGTAGTGTTAGCTGTTAATACTAAGCGGTACGCTCTCTACGTTGCACCTGCTGAATTTTGGTTTCCGATTTTATCGTCATTCGGCCACAATTGGACTAGTCGCTGCCCTATCGCAGGTGGTAAATGTGATCTCTGAACATTTGAGCGAGCGAGAGAGATTCCCTACCTGTTCCTAAAACTGCTTCGCGAAGCAGCAGCATTAAAGTGAAAACAAGGCGACAAACACCCGCGAATACGATAATAAAAGCGGAGTTAGCGAACTGAAAGAGAAGGGGTTTGGCGGCATAAGCGTCATATTCTATCCTTTTTCGGAAGTTCAGTTATTCTGTTTACTTCCTGACACAAACTATATCTTGTTATCAGTTGTGGTTTTGCTTGGACTGGGAATGCTAAAAAACAAGTACGGCGCCATTTTGGTGTTTTTGATAAGGTAGCACTGTCAGGATTGCTGCAAAGTACACCTTTTTCCTACATTTAATGAAAGTTTCGGAAAAATTGGGAACGATTGTGAAATAGAGGAGTCAAGTGGGATGTTGTAAAACTCAAAAAACTGTATAACCAAGCCCATTCGTCGTTTCTGCGCTTGCGCTCCTCTTTGCAATATAAATGAAGGGTTGGGTTGGGGGCTTTTTCTGATTTCTTAACCATTTTTTGTTTAGGAAGAAGGAATAGTGAGATTGAAGCGTAACAAGCACGACTACACCACCTGCTTAGTGTGCTCCCTGTAAGATTTCAGGGGTTCAGAGGTCACCTTAAGAGTTTTGAGTAAAAGATAATACATTCAGAGCGGTGGACCAAAATAAGAATTTCAAAGTTGGCCTACTGGTCTCAGTGATGCCATTACCTCGTATTTTCTTTCGGATTTACGCTGAACACTCCTCGCTCTTTCTCCACCTTTTTTGTATTTTTCCTTTTCTTTTTCTTTCGGATGACTTGTTAGTTTTCAAAGACATCTTCGAGTTGTGGTATGTCCCTGCCTTCCATTGGACGAAAGAATTCCAGGCATTCCTTATCTTTCGTTTCTGGTCTAGGAATGAGTTATTACCTAAGAATGGAGTTTGACAAAACTGGATCTTCTTCTTTCACGTTCTAAAAAGGTGTTGTCTTGGGCTGTGGTTGACATCATTTGCCCATTTTCTAGATCTTATCTTTAAAAAATTGTTGGTACTTACCGTTTAATGGTACCCGCGTAGCAGAGGCCAATTTTCGTGCGTCTTTATGGGCTATTTGTTATGGGGAGTTCAATTGGTCGGAAATCTCAATCGCTTGTCCACTGGTTTATGTGGGGTGCCGGGCGCTTTCGCTGCTGTTCGCATGTAAGCGAAACTACAGGAGTTATGTGTTTATCGGTATGGAGTCACATGTTTGCTTGAACCGCTCTCCGCTAGTGAATCGAATCGATCACAAGAAAACAGCTGATCCTGATCGCACGAAACTCGACGCGGGGATTTGAACACGTTGTGTTCGGTTGCCTATTTTAGGGGATTTCGATGATCGATAACATCTTCGGATTTCTGTCATCGAGATTTTGCTGAGCAGGGCTTCTCACTAATGGAAGGGTTCTCACTGAGATAGTGTGTCAGTAAGGAGCAGAAGTGTAAAGTTAGTGGTTATGTAATAGAAGTTTGTCTTGGTCAGTGGGGTAGCGAGCAGATTTCAAGTCTTGGGCTAAGCCTCGGCTTTTAACAACGACGGAAAGACCGAAGCGTTTGTTGAAAATGAAATTTCACTTAACAGCCTCGTGACAGAAGGTATGTACACGATAATAACGCAGGTTATTTTTAAACCCTCATAATAGCCAATTGCTCGGTACTTACTTGCTCCTTGCATCTTGTTCGAGTTATTTTGGTAACCACAAACGCCTCGGATCAGCTTAAGCAAAGCCTTCATGTGGAAAAATGAAGGTTCTAAGAACGCATCCTTGAAATATTTTGTCTTTATTTGAAAAATGTGGTATGCATCCAGTCGGGAGATTTTTCTTATAGTTTTCTAGCATTGTCCGCTTGAATCATCATCATATCAATCAGTGAATGGTATGATAGTGACAAACGGTCGTACTAGAGAGAGCGTGGTGTTGAATGAGAGCAGCGAGATCGAGATGATGGTTGGAATCTTACTACTAGGGAGCTATCGATTGCGAAAGACATTATTCTTGAATGCTCTCGAATTACTGATGGAAGTTTTTCTCTGAAAAATTTAACATGTTGACACTACTTGCAGTAGTGCATCTTATGATTAGCCTTTTCTGGTTGGTTATCCAATTTTCAGCTTTTGATCTGGTTTTTTTATGGGATCCAAGGTGTGGAATATTTCTGCTGCTAAATGTAAGCCTTATTCTTCTGGTTTTCCACGAAATATACCGTAGTGTTATTTCACCAGCTTCATGGGAGTTGTAGTGTGATGATAACTGCTATGCGTTCCTCTTAATAGCTGTTTTTACTGCCTTTTTTCTAGCAACTTCCGCGACAGCTGACGGACATATTTGTAAACAAGACGGGGACTGAGTTAGTGATTCGCACGATTATCAGGCGTTCGACTCGCGTTGTAGTATCGCATTGTTCGCATTCCATTGCAATCATAAAACGCGCCTTCTTCAACATCTCCGCGTTACTGAAGGGTGTATTTAAGCTATGGGCGCATAAAAGCGAGAATGATTAATAAATTTCTGAGAAGATAGAAATAGATAATGAGCAAATGAATGCTTTCAGGCTCCACATGAACTTGAAGTCGAAGATGACAATTTCCCAGCCGGCCCTATTGATGAAACGAATGAATGCTCATCTACTCCAAAGAATGTGTCGATGTCACAGCCGTTACCGATCGATTTGTTACCGGCTGAAACTGTACGAGCTGATGAGGAATTTGAAGGAGGATTGAGAGTGATCCTTACTGAATACAGAGTAGGCTCTTAAAGTTGACAACAATCGGAACACGTTATAGTACAAAATATTTCAGCTTTGTCTTCTCGCTCCAAATAATCGTGCACTGCGTGTGATTCTGCTTGTAGCCATAGAAACAATTGATTTCCGGGATCCTCTACAGATTATCATCAGCTGCAAAGAAGGGCGTGTTGCCTGGTGAGTCAGGCTTCGATTACTTTTATTTTTTTCTGTTAACTTGTTTATGAGCATAGCCAGCGGTTTCAAGCTCAATTTACAACGTTTTATATCTGGGGCTATATTTCTGGTTTTTGGTACCATTTCTGCAAATTTTTGACTTCGCTATAATGCGAAGAGGCCGATTCAAAAATTTGTGATTAAGCGGTGTTGCTCGAAATTAAACTCTAATTAATAGGATTGTGATGAAGTCGCGCTTACGTAATCACCTCAATGAATCGACGTTGGTTCAGTTATTAATTAGATTGGGCGACCAGCGTGGTCGAGAAATTCATGGATCATTGCTGTGGTTGATACGGAACAATCAGATCGGTTGTCAGAAAATTTGATGGGGGTTATCAAGAGTGACAGATCGGTAATAAATAGATAGTGATAGAGGTGGTCGCCTTTGTAAAGAAGTTGAACAAGAATAATGACTCGTCCACAAGATTTAAACTCAAGGCTGGGTAGATCCAGGTTAATGAAGCAGAGTGGAAAGGTTTGGCTCTCGAATTTTTTAACGAGTATTGCAGTTTGCGAGCAAAATCGACGGAGAGTGCTATTTCTTGGCATAAAATGCTCTACAGAGCCGCAAATCGTGTCAACTGCCAAGAGTTATTCGCGTGGAGTTTTGCGAAGCAGGTTAGTTCCGATTCCATATTTTTTGTGTATTGCTTTTTTGGTAATAATTTTTGGAGATTCAAGTTTTTTTTTAACAGGTGAGGAAGTCGAAATACTCATGGTTAACTGACACAGAACCTGTTGGCGATGAAGTGCTGGTTCGCAAAGAATTCGAACGCCTTGACTATGATCGTGATCATTTTCGGGTTTCTGATGATAATAAAGGATTCACGTAAGTCGATGGAGCGATTAGGAGTTACTTCATAAGTGCTATGTTATTGATTTACAGATTGTCACCTACTTATCCGGAGTATATGGTCATTCCTAAAGAAATCAGTCGAGAAGATTTGGTATACGGAAAGGATTTTCGTTTTCTACAACGTTGGCCTGCTGTAGTGTGGAAGTGTAAAGAAACGGTATCACTTCACTTTTCATTTTTTTTCTATTCGTTTTCATCAGCTTGTGCTTCGTTTTCTTGAATTGTTGTTATTTTTATTTTTGGAGACTGCCAGTTTTTATATGCCGAATATTCTTCGTTTTACAGAGAGCCGTACTATTGCGCAGTAGTCAACCAGGATTGAGTATTTTCGGATGGAGAAATAATGCAGATGAGAAGTTTTTCGAACTGGTTCACAAATACCTCGACACCTATTCGCCTGGTAGGGTTTTTTTCCATCTTCTCACTGTCATTTGTTCTATTAGGACTTTTTCTTGAATTTGGTTACTTGAAAGTTTGGTAAGTGGAGGAATCAAATAGCCTCTACTTGTTCTGTTTACTGGAAGAAATATGTTCGAAACTTTGATCAGCGTCGATTTTTAAGAACAGTTTTTTTAGGCAAAGATATGTTGATCATGGATGCTCGATCATATGCTGCGGCTTGGGCCAATCGTGCCAAAGGAGGTGGTTTCGAACATCCCGGTGAGTGCTGCTTTGAAACGACTGCTAATTTCAAACATAGAATTTATTTTGATGTGATTTGGTGGGGAATGGCCCCCAAAGTCGTTGTACGGCAAAAATACCTTTGCAAGTAGGCTACATGGCGCATCCCAGCAAAGCCTTGGCCAATTTCAATTTCATTCTTTTTTGATTATGGTTATAGATGATCTCTCTGCGGTACTTCATGCATGCAATCTTTACAGAGTACTACCAGCGAACTCGCGTTGATTGGCTGGCTTTGCCTAATATTCACCATGTGCGATATTCATTCCATCAACTACGGGCTTTACTCTGCTCTAATCAAAACAAAACTGGCGAGTCATATCTTACGGTAAGTGCTGGATAATTTGTTTCTTTTTTGAAAATCGCTCGCCAAACAACCTTATTGAGTGAGTGATGGATTTTTATCTCAGTACAGTCATGTTCAATGTTTCAGGCATTGGAAGCAACGGGCTGGTTGAAATACATCAAAGACCTCATGAACTCTGCTCGAAAATGTGTTGACACCCTTTTCGATGGTCAGCCTTATTGCACTTGACAACGTCTCTCGTTATTGCTCTTTCTGGCTTCTATGCAAATATCTTCAGGGCAGTCAGTGTTGGTGCATTGCTCGGACGGATGGGACAGAACAACGCAAATAGTGTCTTTGGCGAAGTTAATGGGGGATGAGTACTACAGGACAGTGCAGGTAAGGGTGTCATCGACAAGTTCATCTCCGTTTTGGTTACTCATAGAACATAACACATTGCCGTACGCGTTGTTCATAATAGAATTGCACTTTTATGTGTGTAGTTATACAGCTATGTCGGTGACAGTCATTGATCAATGGCGATGAGATTTCTATTTTTGCCCGGACTGGTACTGCCCAGACTGGTTTCTTGACGTGGTAAACAAATTGACGTTCAAAGTTCATGACGTAGCAATTGATATCATTGCCGTCGTTGAAATGACTTGTCCATTGATGAACGATGTTTTTCGCGTGGGCTACCGGACAGTGAATGTGATCCCTGTAAAATATGGCCGATCAATCATTTTGAAGTAGAATACGGCGAGCAATTGCTTTATAGGGTTTCGAGGAGCTAATCCGTCTCGAATGGGTTGCGTTCGGCCATAAGTTCGCTGATCGAAATGGTATTATGGGCACAAACACCAATGAACAGTCTCCGATCTTCTTGCAATTTTTGGATTGTGTTCATCAGATGCAACATCAATTACCAACGGCGTTCGAGTTCAACAAACAATATCTGGTACGTTATTCGAATTCATTCCTGTGGGATATTTTTTATTTGTATGTTTATTTACCTATTTATTCATTCAGTACGTGGGAAAACGGCGTGCTAATCTTCGAAAAGAAGGTATTCATATAGAAAAATATATCCCGAGCTAGAAGAAAAAGAAACTGAAACTAAAAACAGGAAGCAAAAACTGCATTTAAGCAATAAAAGATTATGATTATTATAAATTTAATTTGTTTAGCTTGTGTTAAGTTAATTTAATATCATATATTTTCAGTAGGACCTTGGGCTGAGAAGTTCTGTAATTGAAATACTATTGCAAAACTGTGAGTAACTTGAGAAGTAGTTATCAAGAAGCTCTTTAATGGTTCTTGTGAGCATCGTCTTGCAAGAGTTTAAACTCGGTGTGCTTGTGGAGGGATTGACTTTGTGAAATGGGTCCAATGAAGCTGGTTTGTAGGGTATACGTAGTCCAAAGGATAATTTTGGATATCGGAGTGTTCAATGACTGGAGAAAAGGGATGTGAGCGTTATTATGAAAAAGGTATTTCTTCAAGATGAAGCCTTAAAAAAGATGTATTG